CTTTAGTTCAATGTTTACTAGGACTGTCACTAATGTTGGATCGCCTAATTCGACGTATAATGTTGTAGTTACTACGCCTCAAGGCCAGGCATTGTCCATCAAAGTGCAACCATCTCTATTGTCGTTCAATTCTCTTGGACAGAAAATAACATTTACTGTAAGGGTTTCAGGGACAATTGGTATGAGAGCCTTGATATCAGCTTCTTTGGTGTGGGATGATGGTCAACATCAAGTTCGAAGCCCTATTGTTGTGTTTAATTTGTCTTAGAAGTTTGGCTTGAATACTAGATCTATAAATTTGGATAAATGGGTCAAGTTCGCATATTGTTTTGTGTTGATTACGGATCAAATTGTTCGCAATTTGTAAATACATACAGTAAAATGTATTGTACGTAGTAACATGTGTTTATATATATATATATATATATATATATATATATATATATATATATAGACGTATACATTATACACACTAAACTAGTAGTTGTATACTTGTATGTCAATTGGATTGAAACGGGTTATTTTGTGTTGATCATCCACTCCACCTCCAGCTTGCGGACTTGTCGCCAAATAGGCAAGAGCGTGCTACATTTTATTTTTATTTGGTGCATGCATTGCAAGTTGTGCTTATATATAACTTTCTTATATAATAATTTACATTATAATATGATCAAGTATTAGAAGTATATATTAGTTTGAATTTATCAACTACAAGAAGAGTTAAAAAGTCAAAAAAGTTAGTCACACAAACTTAGTTATAATATCATGCAAGAAATCTAAAAATTAATCAAGTGAGACCTATTCTTATTATGAACCGAATTGAAAACTATAGTCTCCTAGGTTGGGCCGTTTCTTTTGAAATGGTAATATAAATGTTAATATATGGAGTAGAATATACATAAACACGAATTTGATTAGGAGATTGATTAAGATCAATAATTAAGCTGAAAATGGCTTCCAAATTATTTCCTCACCCTTCTAATTACCACGATTATCTTCTCAGCCTCATTATCTGTTTATGGCTTCTTGCACCCCTTACTCAAGCTACTCAAGATCAAAGAAAGGCAAGCATCTTAATTTCTTACTTTATACCTACAATTTTTTCTTTTAATTTTTATAATTTTGTATTGTACTGTGATGTGTTGCAGCTAAATTAAATCATATTACTCCGTCCATTTAATTTTATTATTTTGGGTTACATTAACAAGAAACGGATCGGAGTGTAGACCAGAGAAAAACAAGTAATTTATTTTAAGGTATACAAGTTGTCTTTGAAAATTAGAGTCAAATTATAAGTAGGACTTGTGTAAGGAAATGTAGGAAATTTATTGTTTGTTGTATGTGGAGTAAGTTTGTATGGGATTATAAGCGATAACAAATGGATAAATTAAACATTGCATGAAAGAATGAGTACGTGAATTAAGCAAAAGTGTAACCAACAATAGCAACATCAGCAACAACTGATAGAGCATAAAACATATTCCTGGATCTCAATCATCAATTAATCTTTTGGTTGAATTGGTCCCATAACATGATATCGGAGTCAGCGTGATACAAAAGTCACGGGTTCAAATCTTTTACTTTCAAGTGAAATATTAAGCACAACAAAAAAAAGTGTGTCACAATGCATGAAAATATAAGGAGTGTGAGGGATTCATAACCACATAGGAATTACGGTGGTATGCTAGAAAGGAAGATATGTTTGGCATTCAATGAATTACGGTGGAATGCCATTCATGCATGCGTGCAAGAAAATTCAACTATATGGCCCTATGGGGGTCTAGGTAGTTGCATGATTTATCTATTTATTTGATTTATATATTTATTTGTTTTTAATGGAGTTGCATTATATTTTTTATAGTTTATATTTTTATTTTTAAGTGTTACTTGAATCCTGCATGAATTTGATCAAACTCTCCGGGAAAGAAAAAATATGAATAAGGCTCTTCGTGGTTCATTTCGATTTGGCTGAAATTATATTATCTCATCGTATACCTTGGATTATTTTATTTGAATAAAGAATATTTAGTATGAATTTATCTCAACTTATCAATAATAACATAATACTAAAACAGACACTGGGAATAATACATGTCACTTTCTGGTGTCGTTTTTTACCTTCAAAAACCATTTTCCAAAAATAAATGTTATTCTAACTTTATTTTTCTTTTTACTAGATTAGAGCCCGTGCGATGCACGGTAGTAATAATCTTTTTTCCTATAATTAATTTTGTCATATAATATAAAAATGAGGCAACTCATGTACAATAAACAAAAATGTAATGCATATAAGAAAGATGAAAATAATAAGTAAAATTTATTAAAACTACAATTGAGAAAAAAAAAAATTATTGTTGATTAGTTGTGTTAAAAATATTTAAAAATAGTATACATTATATTATATTAATGATGCATGTTATTCCCAATAAAACTATACAATGTAGATGTCGTATGAAGTTTTATAAATTTAGTTAAAAAAAAAAGCAAGAAAAAACTATACAATATACTTCCAAAAAATAAGCTAAGTAGAATAATTATAAAAAAAAAAAAAATTAAAGCTGACATCATATATTGTATTCGGAAAAAAAATTTAATGATAGCCTGGCATATGTCTATATTCTAAAATGATCGATATGCATGACCTGTTTTAGTAATAATTGATAGATTTTTTGAAGGAAAAAAAGTTATAAGTTGGTAAATTATCACATAAATATTTAACAGAAAACTAATTCAATTATTATTGGTTCATAAGATTTCAAATCAACACCATGAATAGAAGTTATTTTTTTTTTATTTTTTTTTTTCACCATTGAACCCCACTATTGTACAACTATATATATAATGGTAATTTGAATGTTAATATTGTATTTTTGGCTCCGTTATTTTATACTTTCCACCATATTTCAACCTTCTAAATTATAGCTTATTCTCCCTTAATTAAAAGGTCTCAAAATCTTGTGTAACTATTTTAAGTAAATAGAACACGAAATAAAAAGGAATACAATCATTATAAAGAAAATATATAAGATTAGGAATAATATTAATATAGTTTTAATATACAAATAGTCAAATATTCCAAAAATAAAATATTTTTGCAAAAAAGGGAGGGGGAGTTTTGGAGGGAAAAAACAATACCAGGAGGTGACACGTGTAATTCCTGATGTCTATTTTAGTATTATGTTATTGATATCTTTTTAAGTGACAACTTATTTAAGACAATAAATTTATATATTATAATACCAATTAAAGATTCTTATTACTAATATTAATATTATTTGCTTAAAAGAATTTTTTTTTTTTTGATCAGTTACACTCAAATGGATTTAATTTATAGTATGAAATAATAAAAACATTTTTACGTTGTATTGCATCAAATTGACTTTAACATAGAAATCTATAACTATAACTATATATTACACTAAAGGAGAAACCAAGAATGACATGTGTCATCTCCTTTATTTTTAAAAATTTCCCGTCAAGATAAATTTTTTTTCCAAAGCTTCTTTAGAAAATATTTAATACTATGAAATTATATTTCCTTTACTATTTGGTAAATATATTCCATTTATACACATTCAACAAAAATATTATTCTTTTATTTAATACTATGCAATAATATTTTCTTACATAAAACTTTGTGACGTAATCTGTGATTATTTATATTAGTCGTGCATGTAATACTCCCACGATTTTCTGTAGTATGATATAATTTCATTTTTATTTTTTGTAATTACGAATTTTTCATCTTATTTCGGATGCAATTAGATAATTTTTATAATTAAATATATTGTTAAACTAATAATAAATAGAGAAAATTACCGTACATGGCACAGGACCTAATCTAGTTTGAAATAATTTGAAGTTAGGTCTTAACACAACTTATCTTGTTTGAATTGAACTTACTAGTATTTCAGTTAAAGTTAGAGAACAGAACGTAGACTTGATCAAAGTAAGCCCGACCCGATTTTGAGCAGAATTTTCCGGCTCGACCCGATTTTTAAATTTTTTTTTGCGGGCTTGGGAATGGGATTTTATGCAATTTTAGTTAATTTTTTTTGGCCCGGCCTAATAATGGCCCGGCTTGTTTGGGAAGGTTTGGGCACATAATTTTCGGCACGAAACTCGACCGGGCCCGAGTAACGGGCTGATTTTTTCGGCCTCGGCCCGGCCCGCCCAATGATCACCTCTAACTGAACGTAAGGAGTTCATTTGACAATGGATCGAATTCGAATGGGGTGGAGCTTCGCCCGCATCCATCTACCATTCAACCCGCTCCACCCACATCTACCCGTCACTCGCTTCTCATCCATTTAATTCGGATTTTCTTCCATTTATTTGAAATGGGTGGATCGGGTTCATGAATATCCATATAATATACCCTTAGTAAGGAGTGATTTTAACAGAGCAATAATCCTTTGTTTAACTTACTAATTGTTGTCTATTTATGTAGACTTATATCGTATACATGGGTGATCGGATTAATCCAAACATTCCGGCAAAAAGTCTTCATATTGATATGTTAAGCGGCGTTCTTGATGGGTGAGGACCATTTTTCTTTTTTTATTTTAATGTTGTCTTCTAAGAGTTCAAAATCATTGGATTTTTTTATCCTACATTTAAGGTGTCAGTTAACGTTGGACAATAAGTGTGAGTTTAGTCACTTGGTAATTAATGGTGTAAAATGGACATCTATTTTCTTCGTAAATTAAATCTAATGTAATTGAGGTTGTTTTGTGTGTGTGTGTACAGTGTTCCTCGTCACAAGGTTTCGGAACACTTACTCTATTCATACGAGAATTTTCATGGATGTGTTGCAAAACTAACTGAAAGTGAGGCAAAGATAATCGCTGGTACGTTACTGCGATTCAGTCCTTAACTTATATTCCGTAGTATTCCTTACTTCAGTTGCATTGACTTTTTATTTTTCTCGATTTTATTGTACTAAGAAAATATAAAACGACAAAACGTAACGGTTTCGTTAAAAAAAAATTGTGCTAGATATGGTGGGAGTTGTTTCGGTATTTCCAAATGAAAAGTATCACCTTCATACAACAAGGTCCTGGGATTTCATGGGTTTCCCTCTTAATGTTGAAAGAAGCAACACCGAGAGCGATGTTATCGTTGGTGTTATTGATTTTGGTATTTGGCCTGAATCCGTTAGCTTCGGGATGATGATCTCGGTCCACCACCTACCAAATGGAAGGGCCGATGTCACAATATTACTTGTAACAAGTAAGTTCTCTTAGCGCTATGGAAAAAATTAACTATATCCATACCTTTTAAAAAGTATCAGAAAACTCTTATAAATAGTGTCTGGATAAATATATCCTTTAAAATATTAATTATATTGCCTATTTTTTTAAACACTTGATAATAGTGTACGAACATTTATACCCTTAAACTATTTGTTTACTTATTTGCTCTCATCAATACCGTCAACAACTAAATTTGTGACATAAAGTCAAACCGATATAACTACATGAATATGGCTAGCCACCCTAGTAATCTCAAAGTTCCTAACACCATACATTTTCACGTTTGTAAACATAACACTTTGACCATTAATATCTCTAATTATGTATTACGAAATTAATTGAGTCAACTAAAGTGGATTTGTATACCGTGTCTAAAGTCAAAGAATTAAGAACTTTCATAAACGAATGTAATATATCATGGATTTATACCATTTAATTAATTAAGTCGAGTTTGTGTTCTCTAACCATCATCTAAATATAACACTATCATTATTGCCGCAGCAAAATAATTGGCGCACAATATTTTCGAGCGGATGGAGTATTTAGCAACGGCGACATAGCATCACCTAGAGATACAAACGGACATGGAACACACACTGCCTCCACAGTTGCTGGAGGAGTTGTGAAAATGGCTAACTTCCTAGGCCTCGGCCAAGGAACTGCTCGAGGGGGCGTACCATCAGCTAGAATCGCGGTGTACAAACCATGTTGGTCTGATAGTTGCTTATTTGCCGACATCTTGGCAGCATTTGATACAGCTATATCAGATGGAGTAGATATCATTTCAGTTTCACTTGGAAGTAGTCGAGCCCGAGCACGACCGTACTTCACGGATCCAACAGCCATAGGTGCATTTCATGCAATGAAAAAAGGTATCTTAACTTCTGCCTCTACTGGAAATAGGGGTCCTGGACTTCAAACTCTTGGAAATTATGCACCTTGGATACTTACGGTTGGAGCTAGTACTATGGATCGTAAGTTTACCACTAAGGTTCAACTTGGTAATGGCATGGTGTTTGAGGTTAGTCTGATTAATTAGAGTGTAAAACAGATTTTTTTTTTTGGATCAAATTTGATTTGTACGAATAAAATTTAATTAAATGTATTACTTGATTGATTTCTTCTTTTTGTTTCTTTACATAGACTTGTTTTGTCTCTTAATTAGAATAACAAAAAGGGACAAAGAGAGTATTACTTATTCAGTGGTGATTCTTTGATTTAAACTATATATTTTGCTTAATACAGGGAACTTCACTAAATACATTTAACACCCAACATAAGACATTTCCCCTGATTTATGGAGGAGATGCACCAGATACTGATTTCTCAAACTCGTCAAATTCCAGGTATGACAAAATAAAACTTAATTAACGTATAGGGATTACTTGTATATGATAATTTGATCGATTGCATTACTTTTGTCACAAAACTGCAGGTTTTGTTTACATAATACATTAAATAGTACATTGGTAAAAGGCAAGATTGTTCTATGTGATAGATTTATAAGTGGGGAGGAGCCTTTCCTTGCTGGTGCAGCTGGGGTGATAATGCAAGATGTCGAACCCCATGATCGTGCAGCTCCCTTCCCTCTCCCTGCATCTTATCTTCGTGTTGATGATGCTGCTCGCGTTCTCTCCTACACTAGAAATCTAACAAGGTTTTATAATTTTTGAGCATTTTTCCTCTGTAATACTACATGTAATTATTCCTAATCACATCCAACATCTAAGAAAATTTCACAAAATTGACATATATGATAATTTCACGCCAAATACACTTATAAACCTTCCAAAAATACAGAGTATTCCCTCCGTTTCACATGATAATTTCATGCAAATTCACTTATAAACCTTTTGATTACAGAGTACTCCCTTGGTTTCACATTAATCTCTAAATATTTGTAAAATGAAAACTGTTCAAGCTATTCTAAGATGGAGGCTGATGACTAAACTTCTAAAATTCTTAATCTAATTTTATGGTAAATGTAGTAAAAAAAATATGATAGACTAAAATCTTATTATTCATGTATGTATGCAGTACTCCATTTGGAAGAATACATAAAAGTGTAGAAATGAAGGATACATCAGCACCATATGTAGCTTCATTTTCCTCAAGAGGTCCTCATCCACTCTCACCCCATATTCTTAAGGTATGTAAGCAATACTCACATATAAGTAGTAATACGATTAAGAAAAAGAATGTTAGATTTCGAGAAAACTCCTCAAATTGGATTGTGTACCATTGATCAATATATGTAACGTTTACAATACTAGTCCTAATTAGATTAGGAAACCTAGTACGATAAGGATACAAAATATACAAAAAATATATCCTAATTTGCGACAAATATTATCATAACTATAATATCTATCAGAGAAGAACAACAATTAAGCTGGAAGAACTCACTAGTGAAAGTGTGCAATTGTAATTTCAGCCCGATTTAGTTGCCCCTGGAGTGAACATCCTAGCAGCCTGGCCACCGATAGCATCTGTAACCGGTGTTGAAGGTGATACGCGATCTGTGCCTTATAACATGTTGTATGGGACTTCCATGGCATGTCCACATGCCACTGCTGTTGCTGCTTATGTTAAGTCTTTCCATCCTACTTGGTCCGCGGCTGCTATAAGATCTGCTCTCATGACTACTGGTATAATAATAAGTTTCTCTAAACCTTCTTTTACCTTACATAGTATTTCTTAATTAACTTTAGGCAATATAATGTTTTTGTTAGAATACTTAACTTGCTACATAATTACTAAAGTATATTGTCACACTACATTTCTTGTATATAGATAAGAAATAACTAATTCCAATGTTTATACAAATTTGACAGCTTTACCAATGAGTAGTACAAATGAAGAAGCTGAATTAGCGTATGGTTCAGGCCATATTAATCCATTGAAGGCTATAGACCCCGGCCTAGTGTACGATGCTGAAGAGCGTGACTACGTGAAGTTTTTGTGCAGTCAAGACCTCAACGACACTAATATTGGATTAATAACCGGTAAAAACAGCAGTTGCCACAAAAATACTGCTAATTGGGATCTTAACTACCCTTCAATCGCGCTCCCTACAACTTTAGGCCCCTTTGACACAATGTTGACTAGGAGTGTCACTAATGTTGGATCTCCAAATTCTACTTACAAAGCTGTAGTAACTACGCCGCAAGGGCAGGCATTGGCTATCAAAGTTCGACCAACTGTTTTGTCATTCAACTTGCTTGGACAAAAAATGTCCTTCACTGTGAGGGTTTCTGGGACAATTGGTATAAGAGCTTTGATGTCAGCTTCTTTGGTGTGGGATGATGGTCAACATCAGGTTCGAAGCCCTATCGTTGTGTTTAATTTGTCTTAGAAGCTCTTTAGCTGTAAATTGGAACAAATTGAGTTAGTTTTGTGTTTATGTTGTCTAGTCGTGTTTAAGTTTCTCTCAAATACTTAGTATTGGATCTAATACTATAGTGGTATAGAAAGTAAACGACGAGTCTTAATTATTGGGATCTTATCTCTATCTAATCCGTCCTGTATCTGTGCTAGGGTGGTTGTGCCCAAGGCCTATGACAGAGATGGCCCAAATTATATTACCTTTGAAGTCTATGATATGTGTTATAAGTAGGGGTGGGACTTCGGTCTGGCGGTTCGGTTTGACCTCGGTTTGAGTCGGTTTCGGTTTGAAGCGGTTCGGATTGAAACGGTTTAGTTTAGCTGGCGGGTCGGTTTGGTTCGGTTTGGGTTAGTCACGGCTCGGTTTGGTTTCGGTTTATTTCTTTGCGGTTTAAATTCGGTTTGGGTCATAAGCGGGTCGGTTTATAAACGATTCGGATTATGTCGGTTCGGTTTGATACGGGTCGGTTAAGGGGGCGGGTTTACCCGGGTCAATGTCAGTTCGGTTTACAAACGGTTTGGATCAAACCGGTTTGGTTTGAAATGGGTCGGTTTAGGGGCGGGTTTACCCGGGTCAATATCGGTTCGGTTTATAAACGGTGTGAATCATGTCGGTTCAGTTTGAAATGGGCCGGTTTAGTGGAGGGTTTACACAGTTCAATTGGGGTTCGGTTTATGAACGGTTTGGATCATGTCGGTTCGGTTTATAAGCGGTTTGGGTCATGAATTCATGATTGTTTTAAAGATCGCGTCATGACCATGATTTAATGAGTTGATACTTATAATACGATAAATCGATAATTAATAATTACAAGTATTCAATTAGATTGATCAACAAGTGTTTTAAACTTTTAAGTTTTAATGATCAGATATGTAAATATGTTTATCGATTGTAGTACATACCAATAATTCAATGAGGCAATGATACTTATGATAGTATGATAATGATACCAACCGTACATTCGTACGATATGATATACATAATAATTAATCTATAATTACATATACATTAACAATATCGTATTGAACCAATTTTCATTTCCAAACATTGCATTTCTTATAAATTATAACTTACACGAGATTAAATAGATTCGTTATTTAGTTTGTTACTTTATTTAGATTACTAACTCAAACAACTTAATAAGTTAAATGGACGAAATCACGAAATCACTAATTAAAGTGGTGATGAAATCATTATGCAATACTAATGTACGAATAGTTAAATATACAACGGTTAGATTGAATGCCCATGAAAAACAATGGTTAGATTTTCATTACTTTATTAGTTATTAGTATTACTTATTAAGTTATTATTAGTTTATTATATATATATATACTGATATACAGTCACAGACTCACATATATATATAATATACATATAGAGATGTCAGATATTGATGTGCATTAACTCATTAAGTCATTAACTATGTCGTATTGAACCAATTTCAATTTTGAAACATTTGCGTTTCTTACAATTTATAACTTATAAGTAATAAACTAATAATAATAATAATAGTAATAATAATAATAATAAATAATAATAATAATAATAATATTATAATAATAGTAGTAGTAAACTAGTAATAATAATAATATTAACAAATAATTATACTAATAATAATAATAATAATAATAATAATAATAAATAATTAAAAAAACAGTCAAAAAGACCTAGAAAAGCACAAAGAAAAATCTAGACCGTTAGATCTAGATGAATATTCTGGAATCTACAAAAAAAAAAAAAATGAACGGTTAGATGTTGAGATTGAATATGGACGGTTAGATCAACTGAACAAGTAAAACCTAAACCTAGAAAAAAAAACCCACTCTATCAGCCATTCAGCCGTTTTACTCACTCATAGTTTCTCTCTCTAACTTCTCAGTTTCTCACTCTTTCGTTCTGAAATTCTCAAGAATCTCAAGCTCAACTTCTCAACTTTTAAAAATCCTAATTAGGGTTTTTGTTTTCGTTTCATTTGTGTTTTGGATCTACATTTATGATTTCTCGCTTTACATTCTCGTTTTTTTTGTTTTTTCAAATCTTCCTCTCCTTCAATTTGAAGGCTTCAAGCCGTCAAAAGTTCAAAACTCAAGGTAATTTTTTGTTAATTTTTGTTGTTTTCGTTTTGATTTTTTTCGTTTTTGTTTCGGTTTGTTTATTTAGGGTTTTTGTTTTCGTTTCATTTTTGTTTTGGATCTAAGTTCTGATTTCTGACTTTTCCATTCTCGTTTTTTTTTCCAAATCTTCTTCTCCTTCAAGCCGTCAAACCTCAAGGTAATTATTTGTTAATTTTTGTTGTTTTCGTTTTGATTTTTTTCGTTTTCGTTTCGGTTTTTTACTTTTTTTATTTAGGGTTTTTGTTTTCGTTTCATTTTTGTTTTGGATCCAAAGTTCTGATTTCTAACTTTTCCATTCTCGTTTTTTTTTTTTTTTTTTTTTTCAAATCTTCCTCTCCTTCAAGCCGTCAAACCTCAAGGTAATTTTTTTGTTAATTTTTTCGATTTTTTCGTTTTCGTTTCGGTTTTTTTTTTTTATTTCAAGTTCTGATAATCTACATTCTTGATTTTTTCTTTTGATCTCCAGTTCAGGCAGTTCTCCATCTTCAAATCTCCTTCAAGCCGTCAAAGAAAATTACTTTTTCCTTTTCGTTTTTTTTAATACAGTTTTTTTGTTTGTGTATTTGATTATTGTTGTTGTTCTTGCTTGAATATAGTCGAAATATGCCTAAAATCTGTTGTTGATTGTATTTTTGTTTTTTACGGGAAAATGGTAGATTTGTGCTGTTTTGTTGTTTATTATGCTTGATTTAAAAGTAATGATGATGGGTTGTTCAGATTATGTGGTTATTGGCTTTTTTACCGAACAAAAGACCAAATTGTGTCACTTTCTGCAGTTATGTGCATAAAATAAATGCTAGTTTAGGGCTAGTAAAATAAACATCTCATGTTTATTTATAGGTTCATAATTTCATTGGAAACTTTTGAAAAAGTTTAAGCTTTTCTTATGTATGCTTTTTTCTTTTTGAGGATATAGGGGTAAACTTTTGCCAAAGAATATTGAGGCATTGGTTACCACCCAAAATTGGTGCCGTCGTTATCAAGCGGATGTTGAGGAAGACGTCCTCCTTATTGGTAAAGAGATTGAAGCCGAAAGTGCTTCATCTGCATAACTGGTATTTGTGTCTCATTGTGGTTTATTTTATCTTGAAAAATCGTTGCCCTTGTCATTTATTTTCAGACTTGCTGGCAGCATTTTTCAAGACTTTTAAAATCGTTGCCCTTGTCATTTATTTTCAGACTTGCTGGCACTATTTTTCAAGACTTTTAAAATCGTTGCCCTTGTCATTTATGTTGAGACTTAAATAGTTAAATGTATTTTGGTACTTGCTGGCAGCATTTCTTAAGTTTTTGTTAAAACAACCATTGCTCAGTGATGTAAACCTGAGAGCAATTTTAAAAAAACAAAAGCTATAATTTTGAAGTTGCTTGAACTTGTTATGAGTTGCTGCCTGCTGGTAGTGCTTTTGCCTTTTGGTTGTTGTCTCTGCTGAGTTGTTATTGCCTATATTGTTGCCTGCATGAGCTGGTTCCTGCCTCCTGCCAGCTTGAGGTGATGTGTTGCTGCCTTTTGTGTTATGAATTTATGATAAGTTTTGTTGCTGCTGTTTCTTATGCTTGCTGTTTTAATTTTTCTTGAATCATCGTTGACCTTGTCATTTATGTTGAGACTTCAATGTATATGTACTTGCTGGCAGCATTTTTCAAGTTTTAAGTTAAAACAACCATTGCTCAGTGATGATACCATAAACGTAAATCTGAGAGCAATTTTGAAAAACAAAAATAAGTTCCTGCTGAGTCCCTTCTTCTTATATTATTCCTTGCTTCTGATAAGTTGCTGATCTGTTATTCCGTGTGCTGGTTCCTGCTTGTTGCTGCTATTTCCTCTGCTCTTGGGTGCTGTGCTGCTGCTTCAAGATTCTGCTCCCAAATCACTCACATTCTCACTCCTCCCTTCATCTTATAATGTATCATTTTTTGCAACCCTAAACTTGATGATGTTTCAGTTGATAAATCTGAAATCTAATCTGGGTAGTAGTGATAGTAGTTTCATTATGTATTGGTATATGTATTGTGAATTTTAATCAATGAAAATGGTGACTTTTTTTAATTGCTTGTTGATATTACTCTAATTTCAATGCTATTTATCTGCTGGATTTGTGGTAATGTTATGAAATAATTGTGGCTACAGATTTGGGATGCCTCCGTATTTATTAAACCTGGTCTATGCACATCGCTTTCTCCAGGAGGTTGGCCGCCTATCCTAGATCTTCCCATTTCCAAGAGGATCCCGGGCTCAATCCCTTCCCCTCTACCTTCCACATCTAATAGTCCGAGAAGGCACCGGGGTAGGCACGATTAAAAGAGATGCTAAAACCCTCTTTCCTTTCAACTCTTAATAGTCGATGGAAAAAGTAGGTTTCGAAAGTTCATCGATTAGTACACCTTCGGTGCTGGTAAGGTCGGGACCGTGGTCGTCCGTCTCCGGTTTGCCGGCCGATAAGATCTCTGAGATTGACCAGCCAGCTGGGTTGGTTTGGTTATTCTTTTCTAAATTCTTTTACTTAATATCTGGTTTAATATAAGAAAAGCTAAACAAATGTGTTTTATAAACATTTTAGTCCTCCCCTTTACAAAATACTTGTATAAGAAAGTTTTATAAAGTGATAATGTGAATGATTGTACGCCTTATTGACTAGTACAGTAATATTCTAATGCTTATGCCACTTGTGTAACGCAATCTCATACATCTCCAATCTTATGTTACCTTTGAGGCTTTGAGTGTTATTGGATGATCATGAATATCAAGGAACAATGAAGATAATTTGGGTGGACTAGCATTATTACTGGAATGAAAATGATACAAATGATATATCTTGTAATTAAAATAAATAAGTAATCTAAAACGATATTAATAATGCCGTTGGCCTAGATCTAGGTGATATAAACCTTTGTATAAACCTAAGCCGTTTGATTAGATCTACATTTATTAACATTAATTGTATTTACTATTTAGCCATTTAGGTTGTAAATAATTCAATTTGAGTTAAGCAGTTTGTAATCGGATCAGTTTAAACAGGTTGCGATTCGAAAACAGTTCGATTTTAACGGTTTAACGGGTTATGGCAGTTCAGTTTAGACGGTTAGCGGATTATAACGGTTCGGTTTATACGTGCGGTTTAAACGGTTTCGGTTCATAAACGGGTCGGTTTAAACGGTTAGCGGGTTACAAATGGTTCGGTTTAAACGGTTTTTTTTCGGTTTAAACGGTTTCGGTTTATAAACAGTTCGGGTCATTAACGGGTTTATAAACCATTCGGTTCGGTTTCGTTTCGGTTCGGATTTGCGCAGTTTGGTTTGTTATCGGTTTACGGTCCGTAACGGGTTGATATTGAGCGGTTCAATTCGGTTTCGGTTTGATATTGAACGGTTCAGTTCGGTTTTCGGTTTATATTTATCGGTTTATAAACGGATCGGTCCGTGATGGTTCGGTTCGATTCGGTAACGGGCGGTTTCACGGTTCGGTTTGAAAAGTCCCACCCCTAGTTATAAGCAATTTAGAAGCAATCATATTTATTTTCGTCCATTTTTTGTAATTTTGTGCATGTGGCTTGGTGGTTGATGTGATTGGATAGGTAATACTTCCTACTCGGTCGTGAGTTTTGAATACCCTAGATTCACATGTTTTGTTATTAATCGTCCTAAGTTGACACGATACGTGAGGCACAAAAGCATGCCATAGGGCATAGGCTATACATAAACATCATTTTCGAAAATTGGCCACAGCACAACTAGGACAACACATGTTAAACCGCTCATTTTAAACAAAAAGGTGGTTTGCTAGCACAAGTTTGTGCATTCCCAACTATAAAAGAACGATACAAAACCAATACGACAAGACTTTAACTTGGCTCATTTAAACACGACTCGCTTGAGCACTTGGTTATAATATGTGGGCCTACATAACACAACCCATACCCGACTAATATAAACCTATAAGGCTATATAACATGGCTTGTTTTAGTTAATTTTAAATTGTTAAACTTTTGTAGTCGTGAACTAATTAGAATCAAGAATATAATAATTGCTGTTGAAATAAGCTTGTGAAGAATGTGTCATCGTATCAATGTGAAGCAAACTTGTTACCTATATTCACTTTTTATATTCTCTCTCCTTTGACCATAACCAACCTCATCGGTCTCTTCTCCTCTGAAAAAACAAAAAACCCACCAAAAACACACTCACTATTCATTTACTACGTATTTAAATTGGCGGTCGGTGCCTCGCATCAACTTCTACTGCTTACTGCCTAACACCAGCTCTCCCGATCATCTCCGGCACCGTCAGTTTTCTCTCCTGCTTATTGTTTAAATGCTTTCTTTAATTGTGCAATTTAATTCATATTTATGTTTTCTGTTCTTAATTGATCATATTCATCATGTAATGTACGGAGTTGTGATCTTATTTGGTCAAAAATTGCATCTTTATTATAAGCATTTTGATTTTTATTTATTATGATTGCTTTTACTTTGTGAATCTCATTATTGTTTAAGTGGGTTCTCAGTGTTACTGAAGGATGATTAATAGAATTGTTTTAGCTTTTCGAAATTAATTACATGATAATAACCCTTGATTAGAAGGGAGAAATGTGAAGTGGGGCCAAATTTTTAGAGTTAATGGTCAAGACATTGCCAGTGAAATTAGATTTCTCTAACAGAAAATGTTAATCTTTTTTCCAAGAAATTAGGTTTAGTTAATTTAATTTTCTACTTTTAGATGGACTAATATTTTTGTCTTCAATTTTTTAGTAATCTGAAAGTGGCTTATTACCCTAGGTCTAGATGTCAACTAGCAAGGCGAAAAAGCCACTTTCAGGTTACTACAAGTGACCATTTTTTTAGTAATCCAGAGACCTAGGATTGAGTCCTGTCTACAATTTCTTAGGATTAAGTCGTGAATCGTGATGTAGACGGGACTCAATCCTAGGTCTCTGGATATTACCCTAAGAACTAATCAACAAAGCTTGTTGACATCTAGTGATTTATGGCCTTGCTGTGGTATCATGTATTATAAGTATGATAGTAGGCTAGTTGATTTCCTTTCACCTTTTTAATGATTGGATTACTTTGGATTATCACATCAAAGAAGTTTCAAATTCTTTTGTTACATGATTTTTCCTTGTAAATAATTGTCTTCAGTATGATTTGATCTTAGGAATATAGTTCCAGCATATTCAATCAGCATCATACAGTTTGGAATCACACATTGCTTGTGAATTTGAGAGCTTAAATCTAAGCAACAATGCAAGCTGCTTTAATAACATCAAATGTAAGCTTAAACCTTTCAACACCTAAAGTTTCGAAAGGGGTAGTCATTCCTCATTCATACATTCCTGCAAGATGTCTTTCTGTAAGAGCATCATCTGCACCTTCAACCCCGACTACTCAAACATCTACCAATGAGACATCAGAATCATCTCATAAGCTCAACAAGTACAGCTCTCGCATCACTGAACCGAAGTCTCAAGGAGCATCACAAGCTGTTCTTTATGGAATTGGACTTTCTGATGATGATATGCACAAACCCCAGATTGGTATTTCATCAGTTTGGTATGAAGGTAACACTTGTAATATGCATCTATTAAGCTTGGCAGAAGCTGTTAAGGAAGGTGTTAAGGATGCTGGGTTAATTGGGTTTAGGTTCAATACTATTGGTGTTAGTGATGCCATCTCAATGGGTACAAGGGGTATGTGTTACAGTTTGCAGTCTAGAGATCTGATTGCTGACAGTATTGAGACTGTTATGTCTGCTCAATGGTATGATGGCAACATCTCAATTCCTGGGTGTGATAAAAATGTGAGCATTTGGCTAGTTGTTCATCATCAGCAACTCTTTCTATTATTTCTCTGATTGTGTCATCAAACTCTATTTTTTTTTTTTTATCTTTATCATAAATTCTTATTTAGATACTTAGGTTTATTGATTTGATTTCATTTCTATGATCTGATTGTGTATAGTTTTGTATATCCAAGCTAGATCAGGGATGCACAACTGTCCCGTATTTGTTTTTATTTTTATTTCTTTTTTTTTTTTTTTTTTTTTTTTTTTTTTTTTTGCAATTTCTTTGATTTTCGGTTGGGTGATATAACTGGCAGTCGGTGAATTTTGAGGTTTGTTTAACAATCTGTCTCATGATTATCTGTGAATGTTGACAGCTAACTGTTTTATGGCATATGTTTAATGTGATTGTCATGCTATCAAGCTAAGTAATTTTCTTTTTTTTTTTTTTTTTGGATTTGAATCTTAAGAACTTTTGTGCTTTTGGTTCTTTCTTATTGAAATTTCAAGGTAGAACTTATGTCTGTTGAATTTGAGATGTTTAATACATTTGCTATGCAGTAAGCTGGTACATGATATATATGGGCTGTTACTGATTTCTATATCTATGCAGATGCCAGGTACTATCATGGCTATGGGACGTCTAAATAGGCCTAGTATCATGATATATGGCGGTACTATCAAGGTTCGCCCTCCTATTTTCTTGATGTCTTACTTAACTTGTTCCTTGTGTTGACCTAATAGAACCACTCTCCAAGTAGGATTTGCAATCTGAAAGAGTGCCTTTTTCTTTTAAGAGGGTTTTTGCAACTTTTCTCCTTATAGGAATAGCTATACCTTTCACTTAAAAAGGGTTCAGCTACTTTACTCCATTAATTTTTCTATAGAAGTTCAGCTTTGCTGCTTTAAAGATAACTTGTTTGGAGTTTAGCCCATTTGCTCTTACTTTCTAACAGCTTGTTATTTCTGACCCTGACATTATTGTGTAGAAACTCCAGCAGTTATCAGTCTCTTTCCTTCCTATATTATAGTGTCTTATCTTACTGCATGAAACCTTATTGTAATGGCTAGTTTCCCTCTCAAGTTTTGCTTCTCATGCACTTCTCTGGGCTATTCCATCTTATACATATGAACTCTGCTGAAAATATATAGTGCGAGAGTTGTGGAAATTCCAATAGCGCAGTTTATAAATAAAGTAAATGCAGCAGCACTAAAACAGGAAATAATAACAAGACAGCAGGCTTACTTGAGTACTCAGGAATCGGGAGATTAATCACAACATAATATACTATGAACTTTTTTTGGATGTTTGATATCGTGCTGTTAGAAGCTCTAGCTCTTTAAACCTTGTGATTTTGGCTGTAAAGTAATACGTAGAACAATGTAAGTACGAAGTACAATAAAGCTCTGGTAGGTGCACAGGCATGCCAAGGGTCCATGAAACAAGACTACTGCTGGAACCCTGTGGTACAGGAGGCCAATCTGTCAGAACCTGCTGGCAGAAGCTAAGCCCTATATATGGCCGTGCCACTTCTTGCAGTCATGCCAAGTATCCTGCAGTTTATCTCCACCACACTCTCCTCAACTTACCTTCTTAATGCTTTCTAAATAACCTCTACAACCAATACAAAAGACATCAAAAGTTAAATACGACTTATATGTTGGAAAAAGTATAGTTCCTGCTGTATGGACGTTTCAAGATATTTCTGTTTTAAACATGCAATTGAAATAATATTGGTTGACTTCAAACCTTTGTTATATATTGAGTGGTGGAGACAATAGAAAGACTACTTCACTTGCTTGATGCATGACCATATTATGCACATTATCTGAATACAGAGCTGCAATTATTAGCTCTTGCATTTATGGCAGCAAACTAGATAAGCGAACTGTTTCTCAAACTTGCATTGTAACAGACCCTAATAAATCAGGCTATAATGTTTATAGATCAATGCTGTAATTTCAAGGTGGGTTAATGAAAGTGCCATGCAATTATCTATCTTTTAATGACTAATGTCTCTGTTTTCGGAAGATGCTAGAATGAGGAACTAAAGTTTTGCTTTAATGCATCTATATTTCTTCACTGGAAAGATGCTAGAATCAGGAACTGATGGGTGGCTTTTATTCTGAGTTGCAGCCTGCTCATTTTCAAGGACATACCTTTGATATTGCAAAAGCATTAGAGGTATTTTTATTTTTCACATTGTGAGAATTTCTTTTAGTTAACTAGTTATCTTATTTGAAGCCAAATATGCAAGAACATGACACGTATGAATTATGAAGAAGTGAATTTTAAGCTCTTGTATTTTTACCTCATGTCCAACCCTTCACGCTTACACTTTTCTGTTACAATAGTGTTATGGGGAATATGTTAGCGGAGCTATTACTGATGAACAGAGAATGGATATTGTCCGGAATGCCTGTCCTGGAGCAGGGGCTTGTGGTGGAATGTATACAGCAAATACCATGGCATCCGCCATTGAAACTATGGGAATGACTCTTCCATACAGGTATACTATATCAATAGGTGTTTCTTTGTGGGATAATTTTGCGTAAAAATTCTGATGTTTCTTTTCGATTTTACAATTCTAGCTCGTCAACACCAGCCGAAGATTCTCTGAAGTTGGATGAGTGCCGTCTTGCTGGAAAATATATCCTTGATTTACTCAAAATGAACTTAAGACCACGAGACATAATTACCGAGAATTCTCTGCGTAATGCAATGGTTATGGTCATGGCCCTAGGTGGGTCTACCAATGCTGTCCTGCATCTGATTGCCATTGCTAGGTTAGAGCCATTACCACCAAATTTCTGTACTTTCTTAGAGCTGAAAATGCCTAAAAACAGGGTCAATGTTTTCCTTTGCAGGTCTGTTGGTCTAGATTTGACTCTCAATGACTTTCAAAAGGTTAGCGATAAGATTCCATTGCTTGCAGATCTTAAGCCAAGTGGTAAATATGTCATGGAAGATTTACACAAGGCAAGTTTATTGCTTCTCTCAATTAGTAGTTCTTGCCTTCTTGGTCTTGTAGCTGCTGAGCTTTGTTAGGATTGTCTATAATTTTTCTTTTGGCTGGGCCAATATAATGCAGATTGGCGGTACTCCTGCAGTGATTCGCCACCTTCTTGATCTGGAATACTTGGATGGGGATTGCATTACTGGTATGTGTATAGTATATCAAGAATAGTGCATGCAATCAAAATGCATTATGGATTTTTATTCACTCTTTTCTCTGTCACATTGTCTAGTTACGGGGAAAACACTGGCTGAGAATGCCAAGCTCTTCCCTGCCTTGGCTGAAGGTCAGGTATGAAGTATATATGTATAGTGTGCTTTTTTTGGACGTAATCATAATGTCTGCTTTTAAAATTGTGGTTTAACTGTTCATATATTTGGTGAAATGTTCAGCAAATCATACGGTCACAATCAAATCCCATCAAGGAAACAGGACATATCCAGATATTGTATGGTAACCTTGCTCCAGAGGGTTCTGTAGCAAAAATTACTGGAAAAGAAGGATTATATTTCTCTGGTACTATTTCTTCAAAAAAAAAAAAAATAATAATAAATAAAATTCTCTGGTACTGTCAGTCATTCCTTCAATGTTAATCTCTTGTTGGAAGTAATAACATTTTCAAACCATTTTTTGGGTGGTAAATTAAGTAGTAATGATTCAAATGTACTTATATTAGGAAGTCTCATGTCAATGTCCATGACAATGCTTTAAGCACCTCCCAAATTATCTTTTTCTTCATTAATTTACATAAGATTTAAAGATGATATTGATTGGAAATGAAAACTTAGGGAGCTGCATTACTATCGACATTGGCTTTAGACTTCCCTTACAAAGTTGTATATAATTTTATATCATTACCAACCAAACAGGTTGTTTGTCCATTCAAGTTTCAATGCTGTTTCTCGAGAAAATCCAGTAAATGATTGTATAAAAAATTTCAGGTCCTGCACTTGTTTTTGAAGGAGAAGAAGCTATGGTTACTGCCATTTCAGAGGACCCTCAGAGCTTTAAGGTTTCTATGCTACATGTTCTTTTAATACATGATGAACTAGAAAATTTTGTCATCATGATTCAAAATGTTTATTTTCCTGCTTTGTCTTTTGTTTTATAAAATATCTGCACTTCAATGGCCAATTCTATCAATATTACTTTCCAGGGAAAAGTTGTTGTTATTAGGGGGGAAGGGCCTAAAGGCGGACCAGGTATGCCTGAAATGTTGACACCAACTAGTGCAATAGTGGGAGCAGGCCTCGGAAAGGTATTATTATACTATTGTCAATAATTTTTTTTTTGAAGAAACTATCATCAATATTTAGTGCTTCTTATTTTTCTTTCATGTTTACTTTGATTTTCAATTTTTTTTTTTTTTTTTTTCATTTCGTTTAATTGTCTATTAAATTTTTGCAGGATGTGGCTTTATTGACAGATGGAAGATTTTCAGGAGCTTCACATGGATTTGTTATAGGTCATGTTTGTCCAGAAGCACAGGTACTTTTATCTTTTTAATCTTCTGAACCAATCTATAAGAGTAAGCACGGAATTATCTGTATGTTCTGATGAGAGCTTCACTCATTATGATTTTGTAGGAGGGTGGACCAATCGCTTTCATTCAAAATGGAGATGTTATTACAATTGATGTTCTTAAGAGGAGGATGGACGTTCACTTAACAGGAGAGGAGATCAAAGAGCGAAGGGAGAAATGGACTCCGCCTCCTTTCAAGGCAAATAAAGGAGTCTTGTACAAGGTACAACTATGTTAAGTTTCTGCAATTAACATTGATGCATACATTTGATCAATCCAATATAAAATTTGATGCTCCCATATTGTTTTCTTATAATATTTCCAAAACAAAGAATAAAGTTTTTTTTTTTTTTTCACTTGCTGATAGTTATTTTCATTATCTTTAGTACATCAAGAATGTGCAGTCAGCTTCGAGGGGTTGCATAACTGATGAGTAGCAGACATGAAATCGAGATGTTGAAACTGCATGCATCGAAGATTCTCTAAGAGGTATTGTAAGTTTTCGGGTTTCCTTGTTTGTATGCTGTCAGACGTACAATATATATTGATAATATATGCCCATTTAAAAAAAAAAAATAAATAATTTAGATATTAGCGGTTGGCTTCCCTGCATATATACTATATAGTAAGTACCCCATGGTCTACATCAAAATATCTCGTTTGTATATCGAAATCTTTGTATACTTAAGGATTTCAATTCTCAATATTGAGCAACCAGTCAAAATCTTGTCAATATATATACTACTCAACGTTATACTTTTGAACAGTTGAGCCAGTTTCTTATGTTAGTTTTGTAATTGAGCAACGCTTATGTTATAATGACTATTATATTCATGTGATTAAGTCCACAGAAATTGTCACATAGAAAACAAAATGAGTTTCATGTTTGTCACAAAACTTACAATTTGCTGGTCCACCAGAGATGTCCAACCTCACCCCCACCTCCATCATCACCTTCATACTTCACTTAGTCACAATCAGGCTTAGTTGAAAAGTGTTTGAGATCTTTAGTTTAGTCCATTTATTGAACAAGATTTTGAAAACCTTCTTCTGGGGTGGCCTCTATCAGGGGGCGGTAAATTTCTCCTCCCAACCTGTTCTTGTTACCCCACATTTGTTAATACAAGTATTTGCTTTATTAAAGTTTGATAGAAATAAGCTTAGTGAAATAATGGAACCAATGTAGCTATAACATGTTACTTTCTGAGGCCATATGATACTGCCTTCCTGTTAGTTGTGCTATATTCTGAATAAAAATTAATTGGATAATGATCTATTGTGTATTGTTAAACATGTCCTGCTACTTTCTGATGTAAAGTGGAAAGATTGAAATGCTTACAGTCTAGTAGGTGAATAACCGAGTAAGCTTCTGGTACAAATCAGGATTTACCTGAAATGTTCTATTTTAGACAGATAGGTAGGAACCTAATGTGAATGAATCTTCAAAATGTATAGTGGACTGTTATTTATTCAACAAGATCTAGAGAAAGAAAGAAAAAAGTACTCTTAAAACATAAAGCGTTCTGTATGTGATAAAAATCTGTTTGGATCCCATTTCTAGTCAGTTAAAGAGTATGATTTATATAGTTACAAGATTTTTCAGGTCACTCAATTTTATTGCCATATAAATTTTTTGAGCTTTAATTGAAAATCCTAGGAAAAAATCTGTTTTGAATTAAATTTTGTTTTATTTCTGTGTCAATTCACTAGTGGCATACTCCCTCAGTCCCAGAATAACCGACACAGTCAAACTTTGCACACATGAGTGGGGTACTTACTATATATGCAGGGTATCCAACTGCTTATATCTAAATTTTTGTTACTTCATTGCCTAAGAAGTCAAAGAGCAATTAGGTGATGTTTGCTAGGAGATCTTATAGCTAGGTTTCATCTGTATGTCAATTACAGAATTTGCAACTGTTTCAGCATGTTTGTATAGAGGTATTTGCAGAAGTTGTCACAAAATATGTATCCGTTCTAATACCCTAATACAAAGTATAATTTAATTTATCTAATTAGGAAATCAATAAGAGTATGCACTAGTATTGGCAAAGTCCATGAAATTTTATATGAGCCTAGTTGTATCACTTCATTGAAAGAAAATTCGAAAATACAACAATGTCTATGTCCTTCGAATCAATTCATTGAAAGAAAATGAGTTTCATGATAGTTAAGGCACACAATTTCCAGGTCCGCCTACAAACATATGGTTTTCATATTCACCTCCAACATCTCTACCATATTTAGCCCTGTAACAATTTGGTTTTGTCATAATCTGTTTAAGGTCTGTTCCATTAAGAAAAAATTGTGGACCTATCACTCTCATCTTTGATATAAGGCAAGCTTTTGAATATCCTTCTTCTGGGAAATGACCACTTCCCATTGCTGGAGTAACCGCCGTTGCTGGGCTGTTTACTTCTCCTCCCCAACCAACTCTTGTTGCCCCTTCGGAAAATATCCAACACACTCGGCTCCAAAGGAAAGCCACCAGTTTTTTGTATCTTGGTCCTGTGTCAGTGAAAGCATCTCCAATAGTAAGTTACAAGGTATTGTAGCATCCTTATATGAATTTTTTAAGCTACTACACTTTTTAGCTAACGACGAAGTACTCATACTAATCTGTAACACATTGTAAATCGCCTAAAAAAATCTTAGATATACAAATACCTGTTGAATGGTGGTGGGTATAAAATACTGTTGACCGGAATAAGTTGATATAGGATCTATAACTTGGCCAAGACTAATGCTTTGACTAACTTGTACAAATCCTGGACACAATGCATTGTAACACCCTGTAGTCTTCCCAGTATCCTTCTGCATGTGTTTTCAAAAATTATGGAGTTTTAATTTCGGATTACTTATTTTATTTGATGTAAGTTGCAATATATCATGTTACTTTGTAATGTACTCTGTATAAGGGTTTAAAAAAAAGATTGGAATACTTACGGTCCAGTAGGCGTAAAATCGAGAAGAGTTCTGTTTTAAATCTAAATTTACCTGAAATGTTTATCAAGCAATTGTGGTGAGCTGAACTTACCATAACTTAATTTAATGTAAAGTATATATTGTTAGGAGAAGTCAAGTAACATGTATTACCATCCAACCTGCTTGAATCGCGTTACTAACGGCACCATCATAACTTGCAACAAAAACAGAAGTATCTGAAAGTTGATTTTCTAAAACTACTGGACTCCACACGTTTATATGGCCAGATACTCCTATGCTGTTGGTTGATGCTACAACAGTTGCAATCTGCAACAGGAATTCTTTAACATTCATAAGAAATTATAGTAAACTAAACCCCCTTTTTTTTAATTGTTATTTTGATCATTTATGTGTGAATTATTACATAAGAAAACATCTCCAATAGTAAGTTACAGGGTATTATAGGATCTTTTGATCATACTCACATAGTGCCCGGGTATTGAATCAATGAGGGGTAACAAACTTGGAAGATTTGGTGGTCGAAATTGTTGTCCCTAACAAAGATGAGAATTTTTCCATTGCAAGGTCCTTTTCTTGGATCCTTTTGATAAGAACTGTTCCTCTAGGACATCTTGTGCTTTTCGTTAGAAGTTGTGAAGGCGTTAATATTGTATAAGAGCCAATAGTTGATGTAGTTTGCTTGGAGACCTTGAAATTAGGTTTCATCTGCATGTAAAATTGAAGACTTTAGTAAGTCTTAGGACTAAATTGTCACTCAAAAATTCAAAATAAGCTAAGGCATGCATAAATTCAGCATGAAAAAATAAAAGATGGACTGAAAAAACCTGAATTGAGTGATTGTGTAGTAATGGATTGTCAAATGCAAATTGCTTGTTTATCTCCACGCAATCCAGAATGTCACCATGCTTCGTCTGGTTGATGGCAAAAGAAATACATAACTACATATCACACATTACATGTTTTGTTGCACCCAATCCTCGCTAAGAAAACAATTTATGAAGTACATTTTGTTAAAGATGGCTATAGGTCAAGACAATCCGTGCACGACACAACCTAATGTAAAAAGAGTATGGTACAACACGATACTAAAGAGCATGATATGGCACAGACATGGAATAGTTATGGCAAGACACACTATTGTGTTTGTTTCCCAACTTGGGCCAATTTTTTTAAAAGAAGCACAACAATTATAGTACTGCAAAGTCCAGACACAACAAATTTAATCACGCTAAGATAACTCACTTTGACTTAAGCACACAAGCTCGACATAATGGCATGTGGGATAGGTTGTGTATGGCCCTCCTTTCCAAAATTTTGACACATAGCATATTGTTCAGTCATGGTCAGGCGTAGCCAGGCCCAAGACACGTGAGATCAACCCAATATAGCCCACAATCATCTTTATTTTGTTGCTATTTTTTTTTTTTTTTTTTTTTTTCAATTAAGCATCTTTTATTCCTTTTCCCCCAAAAGAGTATTGTTGTTCCTCAATTGTAAATTGCCGCTAGAGATTGCAAAAGCCTTTAATTTGCGTTGGCCTGTTGTATCATCCATTTTATATGAACGGATTGCAAAAGTGTTTCTTTTACTTTTAAATTGCAATAATCATTCATTTATTTTGCGTGTTGATTCATCTAGCTTTAAATAATTCTCTTCTAATTTTCATTAGACACCAATATATAATTTCTCGACTGTAAATTAGAAAATGTAATGTAGGATTTGAGGTTTACATACCCGGAAACTCTTAATGGCTGGCTTGTTGATAAGCTCAAGTCGGTTTTTTACCATAGAATTCTCTTCTTGAAATAATAATGTTGCTTCTATGATTGTACCAAATTCATGCCAGATAGTAGCAAAACCAACAAAATCAACTGAATTTTCTCCATTTAGTTTCAAATCAACAACTACAAAAACAAAGTAAAAAATAACATATAACATATGGTGATATATATGGTCCAATATATAATCCATCATAAATGCTTCGTAATCTTTGTTGATTGTTGCCAATGAATTTGACTAGCATAATTTCTTTCCTTTAACTGTGATTTGTCCTTTTGTGTGGTAATTAATAATAATACTCCCTTTTAATTAAAATAATTGACACGCTACCTTTTTTTAATTAACAACTAGTTTTTGGGCCCGAGTGATGCACCGAGTTATTACACGTATTACAATAATTATGAATGGTATTAAAGATACATATTAAGACATGTATTATAATAATAGGATGTTGCTAACGAATGCCCGGGGCGTTAGATAAGCATTTAAAATATTACATAAAGTGGTATTAATTTGAGAATGTATGAAAAAATCACGCGTCGATCGGTGTAATTAATGTTCATTTAATTTAATATTTTTACTTTATTCAACACCCCAGGGGCGTTCGTTAGCTTTTGCCGTAATAATATTATTTTATTTTTTTTGCTATTAAAGACACATATTAAGATGTTGTTCAATGGTTTACTTCTTTCTAATTAACCTTCAAATCAAGAGTTTGAATCTTATATAAGTCATGTGTATAAATTTTTTAATTAATGTATAATAACAGGGAATAATAACCAATAAAGAAAGTCGGCAAAGTGTCACATGGCATGTAGACTTGATTCGAAATGTTTTGGAGAGTGCCACGTGACATGTGGACTTGATTCGAAACGCCTTTTAATATAACATGCATGGAGTTTTAAGTGGTTGAATTGAATTTGTTCAAATGTTGTGTGAATAGTGTTTATGTTGTTCTTTTCGCAAAGAGGTGTGTCATAATTAATCTTTAATCTTCCCTCTCAATGATTTGCTAATAACCTTTTAATTGGCCACAAGTGTTCGTTTTCTCTCCTATTTTTATACCTAACATTTTCATAATGTACTCTTGTTATGCCATGTGTCAACACTCCCCATTTGATTATCGAACAATATTACTAACTCCGTTTCTTATTAGTTGCAGCAAAGGGGTATTAAAGGGGAAATTGACAAATAAAAAGATACCATTTAATATAGACCATCCCCTAATTTTAACCAACTATACTACGGAGTATTTGACATCGACTACTACTAGACCTCAACCCTCACAGTTTTTTGTAGTCTAGAATTTGCGAGCCAGACACTTGGGAGTAGAGGGGAGGGTAAGAGAATCTCTACCCTCAAATACCCTTATTTACTTGGTAGGATTCGAACCCCAAACCTCTAGGATGTGAGGTAAGAACCTTAACAAGTGAACCAACACTTTGTTGGTAAATACGTCATCATTATATTGTTCAAGTTAGACACTACAATCTTACATACACTCATATATATATATATATATATATATATTAGTCATATGACATATCTACCTATGAAATTGGATCTATTAGCTTTCTTTAACAAGGAATCAACAAGAGTATAAATTGACATTGGCAAAGTCCATGTACTTTAATTATATGTACCTAGTTTTATCACTCACTAATCAATTGACCAAATAAGATTTATATAATTATATAGAATGCATTGAAAACCCGAAAAATACGACAACGTCTATGTTCTTACAATCAATTCATCGATCGAAAGATGAGTTTCATGATACAATTTGCACCATAACTCAAGCCTTACAATTAGCAGGTCCGCCAACAAACATATGATTATCAAAGTCACCTCCAACATTTCCACCGTAAATAGCTCTGTAACAATCTGCTTTAGTTATAGTCTGTCTGAGGTCTGTTCCATTAGGAAAATATTGTGGACCTATCACTTGCATCTTTGATATAAGGCAAGCTTTTGAATATCCGTCTTCTGGGAAATTACCACTTCCCATCGCCGGAGAGATTGCCGTCGTTGGGGTGTAAACTTCTCCTCCCCATCCAGCTCTTGTTGCACCATTCGCTAAGGTACTAAACAGCTCTTTCGGAAAATATCCTATATGCTCGGTTCCAAAGGTAAGCCACCAGTTTTTTGTAACTTGGTCCTGTGTCAATAAGAGCATCTTCAATAGTAAATTACAAGATACTGTATTGTACTTTTATCAATTTTTAAAATTACGACACTTTTTAGTTTTTAAGTAGCTAGAAAGTATTACGATATGCACAAACTTTCATATGTGGCTGGCCACACGGTGTTGCCAGCCACATTTTTCTTAAAAAAAAAATGGTTGAGGTTACTTAGTCAAGGGTTACTCAGTCAGTCAGGGGTTACTCACTCGATCAGGAATTACTCGGTTAGTTAGGGGTTAGTCGGTCGGTCAAGGGTTACTCGATTGGTCAGGAATTACTAGTCAGGAGTTACTTGGTCGGTCAGGGATTACTCGGTCAAGGGTTACTTAGTCGGTCAAGGGTTACCTGGTCAGGGGTTACTCGTGTGTTAGCTGACCACACGGTGCGGCCAGCCACACACAAAAGTTGATTTACGATATGATGACTATCTGTAACACATCGCAACTCGCCAAAAAATATATTTATAAACTTATAGAAGTATAAGTACCTGTTGAATGGTAGTATTTGTAAAAGCTTGATGACCCCAATAAGTTGATATAGGATCTATAACTTGGCCAAGAGCAACGCTTTGACTAACTTGTACAAATCCTGGACACAATGCATTGAAACACCCTGTGGTCTTCCCTGTATCCCTCTGCATATGTTTCAAAAAATATCATTATTTTCGGGTTTACTTATTTAATTTAATATAAGGTGCAACACTTCATGTTACATTGTACGGAGTAACGTTTAAGGGTTGAATAAAGATTATTGGAATACTTACGGTCCAATAAGAGTATAACCGAGAAGAGTTCTGGTATAAATATGAATATACCTGAAATGTTATAAATAGTTGTAATGAGCCGAACTTACAACTTAAGTATGAAGGAGAAGGCAAAAAATTATGTATTACCGCCCAGCCTGCTTGAATAGCGTTGCTAACGTCACCATCATCACTTGCAACAAAAACAGAGGTGTCTGAGAGTTGATTTTGTAAAACTACAGGACTCCACACGTTTATAAGGCCTGATACTCCAACGTTGTTGGTTTGTGCTACAATAGTAGCAATCTGCATAGAAAATTTTTAACATTTATTAGAACAACTAGAAAATCATACCCTTTTATATATATTTTGATGATTTGATCATTTTCGCATAAATTATTATGTAAAATAAGAAAACACATCTAAAATGGGTAAGAACAACTCCAATGGTAAGCAAATTGTCAAATTAGCTTGCCATACCATATAAGCTTTTAAACCAATTGTCATTTTAGCTTTAATGGTTAGCTAATAGCTTACTATTTAAATGGACCACACCTCCTTAATTTACGTTCATAAATTTCATTTTATTTATTCTAATTTGTTTTATTTTAGCAAGTTTTTTTCCAAGCAATTAGCTTGACAAAGCTTAGTTGCTTGACCAAGCTAATTGTATTTTCTAGCTCTAATGGTTAAGCTAGTAGCTAGGGATTATTTAATACTGCAAGCAAGTCCCTAACTACAACCATTGAGGTTGCTCTAACAATATAGTCTAATTCTTAACATAATAATTGACTACATATTATGAGGAGTCGACGATACAAGTATTTTTTTTTTTTAGGTTGTCCCAAAATGGAAATTTATTTCTCAATTAAACATTTAAACCTTTCAAATTGATACTTACGTAGTGTCCGGGTACTGAATCAATGTCAGGGGTAATAGACTCGGTAGATTTGGTGGTCGAAATTGTCGTCCTTAACGAGGATGAGAATTTCTCCATTGCAAGGTCCTCTTCTTGGATCCTTTTGATAAGAACAGTTCCTCTAGGACATTTTACGCTTTTCCGTAGAAGTTGTGAAGGGAATGTATAAGAGCCAATAGTTGATGTAGTTTGCTTGGAGACCTTGAAATTAGGTTTCATCTGCATGTAAATTGAAGACTTTAGTAATTCTTAGGACTCAATTGTCACTAAAAAATTCAAAATAAGCTAAGGCATGCATTAAATTGAGCATGAAAAATAAATAAGAAATGGACTGAACAAAAAACCTGAATTGAGTGATTGTGTAGTAATGGATTGTCAAATGCAAATTGCTTGTTTATCTCCACGCAATCCAGAATGTCACCATGCTTTGTCTGGTTAATAGGAGGGGGAGGGAAAAAAAAAAAATTTATGATCACACATTACATGTATTTAGAGGTGTCAATTCAAATGTTCGGATCGGATCTGATGAGATCAGGTCAATTTTTAAAGTTGAGTCATGTTAAATTATTATATCCACGCGAGTTGAAATTTGAATCGGATATTTTCGGGTCGGTTTCGGATCGGGTCGGATGTGGTTTTGACACCATGTATTGCACATTTGCACTCAATCCTCGTTAAATTGACAATATTATGCATTTTTGTTGAAGCTGGATATGTATGGGCGTATGGCCCGAGGTGGCTTATGGCATGACACGACCAAACATGAAAAAATCATGGTATGTATTGCATGTGTTAAGCCAAGCCGGGCCTAGGCCACTTTCTTTTTTCTCTTTTGAGAGATGCAACAAGGCATAGTTTGACATGAAAAATCACACTTTCTTTTAAGTAAGTGGTTCATCCATGGGTCAGACCCTAGCCAAGTCCAAGCCATGTGAGATTGGCCCGACACAACTCACAACCATCTTTAATTTTGTTGTTAAATATAACTCATAATAAATAATTGATCTTGAATTGTAAATTGAGTGTACCTAGCTAGAGACTGAAAATTAAAAATCTTTATTTTACATTGCGTGTTTTACCATCCGTTATAAGACAAATTGCAAAAATATTTATTTTTTCTTTTACATTCAAATTTTAATAATATTCATTTATATTTGCATTGCTTGTTAATAATTCATCTAATTTTAAAGAATTCTCCACTAATTTTCATGATTTTCTTCAAACCTCTCAAGTGTAGACAATAATATCGAGACTCTAAATTTATTAGGAGCTTATGTTAACCCTAAATAGAGGAGAAAAACGTATTGGGAATTTTTATGAACTCTAAAACACAGAGAATGTATGCATGTGGTTTCAAAAAAAAAAAAAACGAGAATGTACGCATGTAACGTAGGATTTGAGGTTTACAGTTTACATACCCGGAAACTCTTAATGGCTTGCTTGTTGATAAGCTCTAGTCGTTTTCTTACCATAAATTTCTCATCTTCAAATAATGTTGCTTCTAAATATTGTACCAAATTCATGCCTAATAGTACCAAAACCAACAAAATCAACTGAGTTTTCTCCATGGAGTATCAAATTAACAACTACAATAACAAAGTCAAAAATCAATGAATTTGACTTTGTTTTTAATTTTATGAGCAATATCTGGTTATACATATAACACATGGTGACGAATACTTATATACATACACATGGCCATCTTCTATGGTAAAAAAAATGATATTATATGTAAGCCAGCTCATTATTTTAGAATTTTTATGTATCCTTATTAAATGCTTCGTAATCTTTATTGATTTGTTGCCATATGTATTTGATTGACATAATTTTTTCCTTTTATTAAGATTTTTTTCCTTTCCGATGAACTGATACTCCCTATATTCAAGAAAGATTATTATGTTTTGGTAATTTTACGTAATTAAGGAAAATAAAATAGTGAAATGTAATAATTCACTGTCAAATATAACAAGTACTTTGTATTAATGCTACGGTAAGGAAATAAGAATATTTATGTTGGAAGTAGGTAAATATTTTTGGACATAAAAATTGCTTTGTGAGTAGGTAAAGTTTTTGGTAAATGAAATTGCATTGGAAATAGTGTAAAAAAAAATTATTTTAATCTAGAAAATTATTAAAACGTAAGTACGTAACTTACAATTGAGAACACATAAAATGGCAAATGTAACCATCTTGCAAGAACAACGGAGAGATTAATACCCCAATGGTTTCGTTTTTCATTTTGATTTTGTCCTTCAATTCTATGGGATAATTAATACTCTCATTATTCCTTTTCTATTGTTCTATAATGCAAATTCTTGGTTGACTTGATCCTCTAACATGTTATTAGAGGCTTAAAGCTAGTAAAGATGTCATGACTTCAAATCTCATTCACTTCTCTTTTTCAAGTGGAATATCTAGCGAGCATGTATCACAAATTCATAATTAGACCACAAATATCTAGCGAGCATGTATCACATTTTCAATAATTTGCTCTTACACATCTATATTAATATATTAAAAAACATTTTGATATTTGAACACCATACCTCACTCATTGAATAAAATTCCACACTTTTTGCCATCTTAGCTAGCAATTAATCATGCTTTATCCCTCCACATATATACATAAATACGTATTAGAATGTAGCTTAGAATAAAATCCAAAAACCTTCATAATTGGCATTGACCATCAATTGTAATCCATTTTAAATTCCATTCATTTACTTTCAATTATCAGTTCATTTTTATTAGACCCAAACTCAATCAAAGCTTAAGTTTGTAATTAAATAAAATTAAATTTCATGTAACTGAATCGAATGGGTCTAGAGTTAAAGCTTCATTCAAATACCATGTAGTTGTCACATAAAACTTCAAAGTTATAACCCAAGACAAAGTCTAGGTCACACACTAATTTTATATACTTCAAAAACGTCCTAATAACCTTGTGTTGCCACTATATATAATTAAAGGGGACTAATTTCATACTTCAAATTAAGTAATACTTTTACAATTTGGTGGTCCACCAAAGAGCATAAAATGTCCAAATTGACCACCAGAATCTCCACCATATTTGACCTTGTAACAATCAGGCTTGCTTACACCCATTTTGAGGTCTTCTACTGCAGGAGGTTTTTCTGTACCAATCAAACTTAGTCCATATATTACACAAGCCTTGTTAGGTCCTTCCTCTGGGAAATGACCACTTCCCATCCCCGAAGCCGCCTCCTTCGGCGAGGTGTAAATCTCTCCTCCCCAACCTGCTCTTGTTGCCCCGTCCCCTAGGGTACCGAACAGCTCCTTCGGCCAATATCCTACGCCTTCATCCCCGAAAAATAGCCACCAATTCTTTGTTTTTAGCTCCTGTACGTGTAAATAATGATAACAATCGTTATTTCGTAATTAATAAGTCATATTTGATTCAATATTTTTTTTTTTTAATGAGTATTCGTACTTAATTATAATGTATCATATGCAAAAATTAAATTACCTGTTTGATGGAAATATTGATAAAACGTTGTTCACCTTGGTAAGTTGATACAGGCTCTAGAGCTAGGCCAAGAGTAACTTTTTGACTAACTTGTACAAATCCTGGACATAATCCGTCGTAACAACCTGTGTTCTTTCCAGTGTCTTTCTGCAAAATTTGGAACTGGTGAACAAATTACGGGACTTATATGGCTCGTTTGGTAAGTGGTAATTAAGGGTGTTAATGCGTGAATCCGGATTAGTTAGAAAAAACAATATTAGTTGTTGGATTACTTACGGTCCAGTAGGCATAAAATCGAGTATTATTTTGACCAAATACGCTTGGATTCACCTGGAATGTTTAAGTTGAAACAAAAAAAAAAAAAAAAAAAATCCATCAAAAACTATTAAGGTCAGACGAATTTACAATAACTTATTTTGAGATAATAAAAGTGATTATCCAAACAAGTACGGAGTATATATTTAATTAAGATTCCACACGTTAATTACGCCAATTGCTCCTAAGTTTTTGGTTGCTGCTACAAGAGTTGCAATCTGCCAACGAAAAAAAAAAAAAATCGAGCGAGAGGATTAAAAAATAAGATATGAAATGTCCAATTAAATTGTTTTATCTTTATATATGACATTCGTTCTAGACACGAGTAGCCCAAAAATATGTTTTATACTCTATCACTTCCCTTCACATGAGAGCCCAAATGTAGATGGAGCATGGGCTCTATGCTGGCTCTGATACCATGTTAATGGACCAACTCAACCAAAAGGTTAAGCTGATGGTTGAGGCTCATGAATATGTTTTATACTCTATCAATTCTTTTCAGGTTATAGATACATATAAACGTGTTACGTATTTTTTCATTATTAAAATAGGTGCCCCATGTGGCCCGACCAACTTTTAAATTAGTGCCCATTAAGAAATTATAGGTCTTGTTAAAAGCGTTTTAATATGTATTTTCAAAATTTAAACGTTTCATAATTTTTATTCATTAATGCATTAGAGACCATGAAGAAAACGCAAATGATGCAACTATTTTAGTAACGGAGGGAATAAATGAATTGAAGGTAAAGAACAATGAGTTTTACTACATTTCAATGCAATTTTAGG